AGGAATGCCAGTGCGCAGCAGAGGTGAGGGAGAGCTGACAAATGTCCAGGGAACATAAGCTCTAGGGAAGGACTTGGACGCAGCAGGCATCTTGGGATAAGCACTAAGTGAGGGTATATGGCAGGCACAGAATTAACGAAGAAAGTGCACGGAAGGTAACAGGAGAGCTGAAGGGTATTAGAAGAGGAGGCGGCTTCATTTGTGTGCTCTTATGCAGGTGATTTACTCCCTCTGTGCCTTCATTCACCCATCCATCAAACCGGGAAGCATCATCATTATCTCTGCAGACAGGCACGGGGTCTTTGCCTACAGCAAGTCAGGCAGTGCGAGCACCGAAACCCAGGTGCTTTCGGCTGTCAGCCTGGGTTCAGTTCGCTAAACCTTGTTCTTCATCCTGGAGGCGTTGAACAGGGCCCTTCGCAGCTGGGAAGGAGCCCGGTAGTAACTATGCAAATAGGCTTTGCTGAGAGAAATGATTTCAGGAATGGCGATAGCTGGAAGACAGTGATGAAGCCACACTTGTCTTGTCACATGAATAACTACAGTCTGTCCAGTCAGAAGCTGACAGTCTACAGGGAAAGCAGCCCCTTCTGTGCCGATTTAACATGCACTTCATAGCCACAGCAGATCTTTCTGCTTCGCCTCCCCTGCATAATAAGAGGCAGAGTCCTTCCCGTTAGCTTATCTGCCTTTGAACGGGAGACGAGGCTGGCAGACCCCTGTGGGCATGGGGGAACCCTGGAAGGAAACAGAGCCTTTTAAATTTCTGCATGACGGCAGTAAGAGTGTGGGTTGTAGTTTCAGTGCCTCCGTATGAAAGAGGCCAAACCCTGCACCGGGGGAAGCGTTCCTGGGCGAGTAAATCCCCACACAACTCTTCACAAACATGACAATGGAGGAGGGCCGTGCAGCCGGGGCCACGACGCCCCAGCGGGATGTATAAATCCAGAGAGGCCTCCTGCAGTTACAGGCCCCACTCTCCAACATGTTAAAAAATAAACTTCCATTGGGGCACAGCCTTCCACCCGCCCCCCAGGAGAGCGCTGGGCCCCACCACAACCCACCATCAGCACAAGGCCCCTTCACAACCCACCGTTAGCGCCAGGCCTGGGAGAAGAGGCCTCAGGGCTGGGTGAGGCCAGCAGGCCGCCCTGGGCCCGCCCGGGG